AACCTAGTTTTCAATGGCTCCTGTTGAATCAAGGCCTGAATGTTAATATAATCATATTTATAGATTTACGTATTTTTAACAACAAACAAATATAGAATTATGATAAACCTAGTTTTCAATGGCTCCTGTTGAATCAAGGCCTGAATGTTAATATAATCATATTTATAGATTTACGTATTTTTAACCATTCAGGCCTTGATTCAACAGGAGTCATTGAAAACTAGGTTTATCATAATTCTATATTGGTTTGTTTTAATATAATCATATTTATAGATTTACGTACTTTTAGTGACCCTCTGTCTATCACTAAATAATACAAAACTCATATATTTTAAATTTAATAATTTAAAGCAATACAAACTACCTTGAAATAATACAAGTTTATTCACTTGTAAAGAATGGAAATATCTATGGACTTCCTTGATAAATAAACTTAGCCTCACAAATCAGGAATGTTTTCTCAGCAATTCACATGCATATATGACAAATTCCTGCCTATCATAAAGTTAGAATTACGTGCATCATATTACATAAAATTGTAAAAACATCTTCAAAAACAACAGGTATTTTGTTACAGAGCACAAACACGTACGTTACTGATAATTATATAATACATATTATACACAACGCACTTTTAAATATATTGGTAAACAGTGCATGTTTGGATTAAGAAAAAATTATGAAAAAGCATTTATACAAACTGTTTGTTCTTATTAGAAATATGCAATTTTCCGTTATTTTATTCTCAACACGAAAATAATACTAGTTATAGTAACATTAATGACACGAATGTAATTTATTAAGTTATAAATTAGTTAATTAAACATGAACTTAAAGTCATGAAGTTGAATTCTGAGCCTTCTATTACACGGAGTACACATTTAGTGTTTACAGACGCACAGACAGATGCTGCTCAACACTGATCTAACAGCTAAACATACAACAATGATAAACATGGTAGCATTTATTTTTCTCAGTTGAATGTATATTCTCGCTTCAGATTGCTAAACTGATCTTCTAGTATTGATATTCTTTGTGTAAGTAGCTTTCTTTTCCTTGATGTGATCAGATTTCATTTACTGTAAATCTGTATTGAAATTGAAGAAGTTATTACACTTCCAATTATCTAAATATCGCACGAAGAACGTAAAGCAATCCCTGGAGGCTCTCACTCTTCACTTACTAATATTTAATAACTTCATTCAAAGTATCTCAAAATATATGAATTCTCCTATATGTCTAAAAAATCACTACAAAAACATTCACTGTTTAATTTATTTTTACTTTATGCAACTGTTTTTCTTTTTCTCATGTTTATCTATCTAATCTCCCGCTCTCTGTATATGTAAATATACGTGACGCTAGTTGTTTTTTAAAGTCGAAAATTATCCAAGACGGCGTTGCATTATTCTTTCTTTCCTTTAGCTGGTAAACTTAACATAAGACTGTTTTAGCTCTAAATTTAAAAATATGTTTATATAAGACCATAAAGAGAAACATATTAATGAATATCTGTATTACCTGTTTCTATCTTAATGTCGCCATCATTTGATCTCGTCTCTTTGTCTGTTTTTAGTTTGAAAATATTACAATCTCTTTCACTGGGTACATTATATATATAAATAAGATTATGTATAAGAATCTAGTTATTTACGTTCATAACTATAAATGGCATATTATACATTGCCTGCATGTTTTTTTATTAGTCTGTCTTCATATCTATAAATGACCTAGTACACATTGCCTGCTTGTTTCGTGTTATTGGTCTACCATCATATCTATAAATGGCCTTGTACACAACGACTACTTGTTTCGTGTTGTTAGTATACCTTCATATTTATAAATGACCTAGTACACATCGTCTGCTTGTTTCGTGTTATTAGTTTACCTTCATATCTATAAATGGCCGAGTACAAGTTGCCTGCTTGTTTCGTGCTATTATTCTACTTTCATATCTATAAATAACCTAGTACACATTGCCTGTTTGTTTCGTGTTATTAGTTTACCTTCATATCTATAAATGGTCTAGTATACAATGCCTGTTTGTTTTGTGTTATTAGTCTACCTTTATGTCTATAAATGGACTAGTACACATTGTCTAATTGTTTCGTGTTTAGCCTACTTTCATATCTATAAATGGCCTGGTACACATTGCCTGCTGGTTTCGTGTTTTAATCTATTATTTGGCTGAAACTGGGCATGCTATGGCAAGAGACGGTCTTAATGAACAGCATACAGGGACAACACCATTAACACTCGTTGATCACGGTAAGAATTCAGGGGAAGTGGCTTGTGTGGGATAAGCAAGCAGTAGCATATGTTTCTAATCAACATTCGTGGTCAGGTTTTGCTTGCTTGTGTACGAAAAGGTGGTCATTTGTCTTTTTTCCTAGTCCAGTGAGAATGACCACGGACGGAGGGGGAGTAGAGCTATGACCTGGAACGGTGCTTTCGGCACGACAACTCAAAGTGAACTCTAACCGGGGAGAGGCTTACAGAGTGATGGAACGCCAGGCATCCGCGGGGTCGAGAAACGAAGCAGGACGAACTGTTCCCACCCTCTCCAGATGCTCTCGTACGTTTGTGTTCATCGCGCGGCGTGTGCGTGAGGACAGCTTTATTATCCGGATTGTTGTCACCTCACTTTTATTTTATATTCCACTTGATCCTGAAGTTAGCAGTGAAAGCAGCAATAAAAACATGTCTCCTGGAACGCAAAGTTTCGATCCAGCTTCAAGGAAAATAAGTTAATGAGTTTAATTGGAACTTTCTTCAAACAGAAAATTTTGAGTCATCATATCTCATCAAGAATAATATTGAGAAAATAAACATGTTTCGGTAAGGACAAATCATTTGAGGATGGACGAAATGATGAATCTTCTTCAGCTATAACATATTACAACAATAGACTTTTCACAAATAACGTGCTTCTTTCAGACTGTTTGTCACGTTTAAGTTTGAGGCTTACACTTAAACAGTAGAAATTAAATAAGCCACTCAAGGCTATCTGCGTTAGCTGTCCTCAATTTTGGACTGACACACTAGAGTGAGGGCAGCTACTCAAAAGCACCCACCACCAAAGTTTTGAGTTACATCAACCAGCACGCCAAACTACACTGTATTATGTTCCAAAATTAACTGTCAGAAAACGTTTCACTACATTTCTCTTAAAATCTATATTAATAATAATTTATATTCACATATACATTTTCGTTTACTAAATCCTGAAGTATTATGCTTGTCAGTATATGACAATGTAATTTACTCGTTTTTACTTAATTAGGAAAGCCAATTCTGTACGTTTTTTTCTTTTTTATAGAGATGACCAAAATA